ATGAGCCACAACTACTGAAGCCCACGCACCTAGAGCCCGTGCCCCACAACTAGAGAAGCCACCGCAATGAGAAGCCTGTGCACTGCAACGATGGCCGCCACTAGAGAAAGCCCGCGGACAGCAACAAAGACCCAACACAGCCAAACAAAACAAAAAAGAAAACAAAAAAACCCACCATGAACACAACCTAAACTGTCAGAAGAATCATTCTCAAATTACAGATAGGAAGTTGAGGATCAAAAAAAGTTGTCACTTGCCTCAGGTCATAGCTAACATTTGAACCCAGGATTCCAAAACCCTTACAGAAAATCATAGTGCAAAACACAAAAGTTTACAATGTTTTCAAGACTGGAAACCTCCCCCAAGAATTAAACTTTAAAGAAAACACAACTTAAGCAAAACACAGACTATAGGAACAATAAATTAAAATCCTACAAGCACTATCAGAGCTAAAGAGTCACTTTCCATTTTCACTTAAGGATATTCGAAGTGGAAGTTTAAAAAGAATTTTTTTAAGACTGCACAATGATAGCTGCATTCATTTCCTAACTTCCTCTACTTTCCACTCCTCTGCAGGACAGACACAGACCCCATCTCTACCTACAGGGTCTAAATCTTTTTTTAAGCTCCTAGGGAGAGACCAAAATTACAGATTTCAAATGTTCATGTCTAGTACTAAAGATCACTTCCATTAGCTGAGAAGTAATATGGAGCTGACAGACAGCCTGAATTGATAGAAAATAGTTGAATATCAATATTTCTAGTTACTGGTTTTTCACATACTGTAATTTGAAGCACCATGAGGCACTTTTACATCTTTATATTCACTTCTGGGCATTTTATTCCACTTTTCACACTTCGAAAATAATTTCTACTTCATTTTCAGCCCATTATATTTGAAAATATTTCTTTGAAAATGTTTATCCATTTTAAAACTCTGTATCCAGCTCCAATAAATATTCCAAAATCAAATTGTTCAAAAATCACTCAGCTATTCACTTATTTATAATTCTTCTTGGCAATAATTTCACAATTCGTTAAGGCACTTTCTTCTTTTCAGTCATTTTTGAAAAATCATTTCAACTAAGTCATACCTAATAACTTTTTATAAATATGTGATTATTTAAGCTAATGGGAAAAAACTGAGTACTATACTTGAGGTAAAAGGCACAATACTTCCCATGATTACTGAAATATAAAATTAATGAAAAATTATCTAGGCAAATATCTCACTTATTTCAGATTCTAAAGCTAACCTAAAATTTAAAAGCGTTATCACCTAAAAAAGCAGGAAACTTTAGAAGTCAGATAAATTACTTTTAAAATTGTATAAGATCTGGGGGAAGAGGGATTTACTGTTTAATGTGTACAGAGCTTCAGTTTTGCAAGATGAAGCTTCTGGAGATGGATGGTGGCAATGGTTGCATTAACAATGTAAATGTACTTAATACCACTGAACTGTACATTAAAAATGGTTAAGATGATACATTTTGTTATGTGTATTTTACCATAATTAAAAATAATTTTTAAAAATTATGTGAGAGTATGCATCCTAGGGTGCATAAAAGTCACCGCTACCTAAATAAGTAGTTATAAGTATTCATATTTAGGGAAAAACTCAAATAGAGACAGAAATCCAATTAAAACATTGCCAAACAACTAGAGCAGACATAATTGGCTGGAAATACTGGAGGGGGAAAATGATCTGAAAAATGAATAAAATACTGGCAAACCATAAAAACACGAAAAGATTGCAAACTGCCTCCTTGGCGCTCAAAAACTTAACTCGCTAGCAGCCAGAAGAACACAGCAAATTGCTGTTTCAAACTTTCAGAATTTTTTGTAGCCGAATTTATGTTGGAACATGTTTGACAATTTGGTATATTATCCAAACGTTTTTACCTCTTCCCAGAGAGACAGACACGGTATGTGTCTCCTTCAGAACAGAGGTGAGATAAAAACAATAAAACTACTGAAGTCAGTATAGCCCTTTGTCTGCAAGACCAAGTTTTAAAAAAGTTACATCTAAGTATTACCTAAAATAGGATTCCTAGTCTGCCTATAGATTTCTATTGCAGTATACTGCAATTTAGAGTTCTAATTCCACCTTCAATATTCACTAGCTGTATGATCTTGGGCAAGTTTCTAAAATTTTCTGTGCCTTCGTTTCTTTAATCTCTAAAATGGTGATAATAATGCTACTTACCTCATAGATAGGTTTGAGTTGATGTATATAAATGTATACATGCAAAAAGACTTAACAGGCCTGACATATCAATAGTGAGCACAATTCATGAGAACACTATTATTAAATTATTATCATTATCTATCCCACTGATTCCAGTTATAAACTAGTTAAGCTGGGGTCTCTCCAGAAAAATGCACACAAATAAAAGATTTTGAACACAGCTGCAGAGGACTCATCAATTCCAGATTAGAGAAGTCCTACCAAAGCAACTTAGTTGGTAGTAAAGTGGTTATTAACCTCCCTCATGCCATGGACCTCTTCAGTAGTCCAATTAACCTATGAATCTCTTCTCAGAATGTTTTTAAGTATATGAAATAAACAGAACTACAAAAAATCAATTATAGTATAGTTATAAAAGTATTTTAAAATTTCTAATTTAGTAATAAATGTTTCTTTACAAGTGCATTAAACAAGACTTTTTTTTACATATAATAAGGAGCAATGCGGGTAAACAACATTTCAAGGTATCTGCAAAAACTGTAATATGATATGAAAACACTTCTCTTGTTGCATCCATTGAAATGTCAAGAACTTTTAATTCTCTTCAATTCTAGATTTCAATTAGAAGCTAGTGAAAATAAACAGGCAAATTTTTTTTTTCCTCAACCAAGTTCACGGACTTCCTCAATTCCATCTAGGAACCCAGATTAAGAACCCCTGGCTTATTGGAAAGTAAGTGCAAAAATAAGTTTTGGAGTCAGTGACTTATGTTCTAGAAGCCAGACTTCAGACTTTAGTCCCCACATTATTTACACCTGAATGACCTTAGACATCAAACTTCTGAGCTTTGGTTCCCTCATTTAGAATAATTCCTACATCATGAGGTTACAAGGACTGAATATTAGTTAACAAAATGCCAAAAGACCAGTATGTTATATTTGATTGATTTTAATACCATATAATTAGACCCAAATATTTAATGCCATTGTTAATTTTCAGTAAAACTCATTATATGTGAAAAATTTAAAACCACATACATACTGATTTACAAAGAAAATGATTAATGGAAATATTAACTATATGTAACATTTTAGTAAGAGCTATGATTTGGCTTCAGAATGACCTGTATCTAAATCCCAGGTCCACTACTTTAGTCTTACTAAGTTAAACTCTCCACCTCAGTTTCCTCATCTATAGAACACTGCAAGGTTGTTTTAGAAACAGGAGGATCTAGCTTAAACGGTCAATAAATGGAGTTATTATTAAAGTTCACATTTTAACAAAGCCAAAGCAATCAATTTGGACCTCAAAAGTTTATTCTGGAATTCATGTTTATACAACTACAACTTCACAGTCCTTTGCCCGGCAAAACACATACACACTTAAAACCTGCAGCATTTGCTTGGCATAACATTCCTAACACAAACTGGCACTGCTTAAAATCAGATATGATTTCTTATTCTGCCCAAGGAAAACAACGAGGATAAAAAACGATCAACAGAATGGATTCAATAATTTTAAATCTTTTCATGATTTACTTGGAATCTTTACTACCAAGGTTGGACTACTCTATAAGGTAGCTGTCTCTTTAAAACCCAATATAAAGATATCAAATTTATCAGCTACATATTGTCGGTTAGATTAAAAATAAAAAAGGCAGAAGCATGTGTCTACTTTATGCCGGAATACTATGGATTAAGATCCCCCCCCACACGTCCGTCAGAAAAAAAACCCGCCATAGACTGGCTCCCAATCCATTATACAACCTGTAAATTCCTTCCCTCATTGAAAAGATGCTTTTTGTGGGCATAGTTAACAAGTGCCAAGCTGCGAAGTTGCAGCTTTGCTGGTTTGACGTTTTCACAATGCAAGAACAATATGATCTGGAATCTACTCAAAGCATTAGCCAGGCAGTCAGCTGATGCTCACTGCACACAAGAGAAAGACAGAAATAAGAGAAACTGAACCTCGTATTTGTGTAAAACAGGTATCCACTACGTTTTAAAGCTAAAATAGGCCAACAGCAGATGTTCCAGTTAAAGTAATAAAAGTATTTCCATTGTTAAATAACAATTTAAATAAAAAACAAACAACCGACTTTCCCCGAACTAGGTTTCGCTCGTTCTTGGAATTTTCCTTGATAAAGGGCTCTTATCCGTTCATAAAATCAGCCCCTCACCACGGAGCGCCTGCCTGAGTTAACTTTATATAGCCAAACCCTACTGGCTTCTCCTCCGTTCACAGTAACTCGCTTGCCACCCACAGAACGTTCCAGAGATCTAGGGACGGGGACCAAACAAAATTTGGTGGGGGTTGCTAAACAGAGGCTTTCAACTTTCTTTCCCAAACACTTCTACCGAATTTCACCTTCCTGCCTCCGCAGCCCCACATGTTGCTCGCCTGCTCCCAGAGGGCCGCGCGAGGCCTCGGTTCACCCCGGAACGCGCCCACCTGATTACCCTTTTCTCCGCAGACTCCACCCTCCCCGCCCCCCTCCCCCCCCCTCGCTCGCCTCCTCTAGAAGGTCCATATGGGACGCTTTCCCCTTCCTCCGATCCTCACGCCGCACCAGAGAAGCCTCGATACTCCACCTTTGGTTCTCCCCCGCCACGGCGCTCGCCTCTCACAGCCTCCTAAAGTGCTGCGAGCGCGCAAAGCGGAGCCGCGGGCCTGCACGGCCCAGGTGCTGTGTCAGCCTATCTGCCGGTTCCGCGCCGTGTACGGCCTGGAAAGTCACATGGCGCTGGGACCGGCCGGCGCCTTCACACTCCTGCTCTCCTCAGAGCAGGACGAGAATCCCAAGTCCACTCACCTCCACGAAGAGCAACATGACTTTCTCCGCTCGGCCCAATCGTTCTCGCCGACGCGACTCCAACTGGCTTACAGGCCGGAGCCCCAATAGCTAGGATAAGGACACTCGCCTGGCCCCTCCACCCGGCAGCGGACCCGGCTCCTCCCCCGCCGTCAGCCGCTGCGGCCTGACCCGCCCAGTCCCACCTCCCTTGAAACAGCAACTGTTTCCGGCTCTAGAAAACAATTGCTTCCGGGAGAAGAGAAAATCCTCGGCGCGCTCAACTTTTGCGCTACCTTTTCCAGCCGCAGAATGGACTGTACTATCATGTGGCCGGGGGGAGAGGGGGCGGGGGAAGCTATCAGAGGAAGGCACCATTCTGTGCTACGGGAGTATGTAAAAAGTTTACAGGCTCATTTTATTCCTGGCGAAACGGATAGTTACCATGGCCATAATAACTCCGCAGTTCTCGTGGCCCAAGACCTAGATCTGATAAAAAGCCGAGCTTGTGCAAAATGTACTGAAAAACAACCAGCCCTGCCGAAAAGGCGGCGGCTCTCAGGGAAAAAGTAGAGAAGGGAAAAAAGCAGCAGTAATAATAAATATATTAACAGCAACTGCTGTACATTAAAGGCCTACTACATGCCTGGCACTATTCTAAGTATTTTACGTGAATTAATCTAAACAATCCAACGCAATAATACTATTATCCCTATTTTACAGTTGAAGGAGCTCTCTAGAACACACTTTGCCCCAAGTTCCCTTGAATTAGGTACCCACATCTCTGCTCAATATAATCCTATTCGGTAGTACTTAGCCTGGAGAGCCTCTTCATTGATGTTCTGACATTAACTCAAATGAAATACAACAAAAAATTTTTTTAATTATCTTTATAATTTTCTGTTAGATGATCCAAAATCCTTATTATCTTTAGCAACACTTACTAGGATTTATCCCTCCCTTATCAGTCCCACTTCTATATCCTAGCTCTGACACTCATCGTTTGAAACAGTCATGTCTTGATCTTCTCCAATGGATTTTTTTCTATTCTATTATTTCAAAAAATCTTCCTAAATTGAAGGTTTCATTTTTACCAAACTGCTATTATTTGCTTTCAAGACCTTACCATTCTGATGCTATGTAATCTCCCTTAACCTCAAATGAATCCCTTCATTTTTCATTTAGATACCAAATTAATTTCCCCTTTGAATTGCTGGTATTTCTGTCCCATACTCTCCTACTCTGATCTGCAGTAAACTCAACATTACCTCATCTCAATTAAACCAGTCTCCTTACTTTTTCCCTGAAATAACAAACTCTGCACTCACCTCCAAAGACATGGCTCACTGAAAAGCCTATCTGAAATGCCTTCATTTTTCAGTCAGTCTTCTCTCTCCATAAGGTTCTCCCAAAGACTCTGCTCCTCACAGGTCTCTTCTTCATGTCCCTTGTTAGCACTTGAATATTATATTCTATCTTAAATTTTTTTTGTTGTTTTTTAGTTTCTTCACAGGTCCCTATCATATATTTTTCACAGTCTAGTATAATGGTAGCCACATAGTAGTATCTCAACAAATGCTTGTCAGATTGAAGAGATTTTAAAATTTGCTTTAAAAAGCCTTCATTTCCAGTTGCTGATGAATTCCATGCTGCATAAAAAAAATATGAAGGAGAGAGAGAGCACAATAATACTAAATTAGTTTTGTTGACAAGTATGTAGGCTGCTTTGTGAATGCCCACTAGGGTAAGCAATATAAAGAAATCAAGAGAAATTAACAGTTATTTAAGGATCTCACAATATAGTATTATTATCAACAAAGTAATTTAATAGATTAATTGATTATGTTGAGAAATGCTGGGTAATGATAGATATTTTAATGAAAACTCACATTTACATAAATAAATAATTCTCCTTAAATGTGGCCCTTTCAGAAAATATTATGAACTTCCTTGAATAAATAGACTTAATTGTGATTTATAGGAAAGGAGGGAGTGATATTTTATGACTGGGGGGAGGGTGCAGTCTAACAATAAAAGAAAGTATTCTGGGACTTAGAAAAGTTTCCATGAGGAGAGGACTTTTAAACTATAATGAATATCCAAATTTTAGACAGTTTCCATGGAGGTACTGAGGAAGAATATGCCAAATGTTAGATAAAGAAACCTTAAGTACCGCATCTGGTTTTGAGAGGTTCACCAACTGGTGGATAGAAACAAATAATAAATAGTTACACTCAATGAGATAAGTGCTATAATACAAAGTTTACAAAATGATTTGGGAACACAGGGGAGGGAGTAATTTAGACAACAGGATCTTAGAAGGGAAAATATTTAACTTGCTCTTACATATTGACTGATATTTTAAAAAGACAATTACATTATGATCCCCTGTATCCCTTTCTCTGAAGGATTGAAACAAATTGTTTAAATTTACAAGTTTACAACAAGCACTCAACATAGGACTAAGTTACAATAAGGACTCAACATAGGAAGTTCTCATAGAGAAATTGTTATACATCCACAATTTATATAAAATCTAAAACATACAAAATGATATTACATAGTTTATGAACACATACACCTGCAGTAAAACTGTATAAACAGAGACTAGACACAAATACATCAAATTCATGCTTGTTATGGCCCTCTGAAAAGGGAAAAACAGGAAAGAAGGAGTCTGGGGAGAACACCAAAGGGGACTTCAACTTTATCTCTAATGCTTTCTTTTATTTAAAAATATCTGAAGCAAATATGACAAAATGTTAATATCTGTTCACCTGGCTATTTGTTATATTTCTTTCTATACTTTTCACATTTTTTTAAATTAAAAAATAATCTACACAACCAACAAAACCATCTGTCCTTTTAATTGCTCTAGTGTCCTAAATCCTTTCACCACCTCTACAATCAGAGGAGCTGCCCAAAGTACTCTTCTTTCAGTTAGAAAGCAGCCTCTAAGCGTTCCCTTCAATTTCCCAGCCAACTACAGAACGTCAAAGCCTTCTTCAATCAGACTTCTTGAAAAAATGAGCCACTAGGCAGTGCAAAGAGTGTGATCTTCATCCAAATACTATCTTCCAAGTTACTACAAGTCTAGGAAAAGTTGAAGGGCAGCTGAGGAAGTTGTAACACAATTATTCCACTACAAGCTTAAACATTCTTAAGCAAAACCTCAGGAGGAGAGAAGAACCAGAAGTTACATTTGATACACTGGATCTTGAATTCTAACACCTAGATTTTAAGCTCATTTAAAGCAGGGCTATACCTTCTATTTCTTTTAGCGTTCCTGTTGTCTATTCTTTCCTTCCCTCCCTCCCCGCTTCACCCGCTACCATCACAGCATATAGAATGCCTAATTCTCTGCATATAGTAAGCACTCTTCAAATGTTTGAGTCAATGATAACGTCACAATGGGTCTATTATGACATCACCCAGACTGAAACACCACGGCTAGTATCAGGGTACACCACAACCTCTGGGAGCAGGAAAAGCCTCTTCTAGCTTCGCTGTGGACGGCTTTATTAGCATTTGCCTATATTCTGTGAAAAACGAAGAAATAAAAGAAAATCACTCAACTTCCAAAACGTTTATCCAGATGCCAACCGAGATAGACAGTGAATAGGAAGGAGAAAAAGAAGCTTTGGATTTCACCATAATGTACAAAAATGTCCGTGATAGATCAGAGGTCCCTAAGCTTGAGATCCCATTTACAGTACAGGATGTCATCACTAGGATTGAGCAAGCACAGCTCCATCGAGCCAGAGAGGTAGGTAGTAAATGAAAAGTTTATAGATTGCAACTTTCTTTTTTAAACTTTCCATGACCAGCTACATTTTTTTTTTAAGGATTCACTTTATTTTCATGACATTTGACTGTTTGAGGTCACATTGATTTCAAATGACGATTTCACCTGACTGTGGATAACAAGCTCCAATTCTACATTAATTCCTTTCACTTCCATATCAGAGATAATCAGGCTTTTTAAGAAACAAATCACAGGGTTTCCCTGGTGGCGCCTGCCGATGCAGGGGATATGCGTTCGTGCCCCGGTCCGGGAAGATCCCACGTGCTGTGGAGCGGCTGGGCCCGTGAGCCATGGCCGCTGAGCCTGCGTGTCCGGAGCCTGTGCTCCGCAACGGGGGAGGGGAGAGGCCACAACAGTGAGAGGCCCGCATACCGCAAAAAAAAAAAAAAAAGAAAGAAATCACATGTGTTATTGAGTGATTGTGATAGAAAAATTTAAATCTATAGCTAATATTGGTATCTAATTTTAGTCAATAGTTTTAATCTGTTCTCTACTGAGCTTTTATCAAATACTTATTAACAAGAAGAAATGTGAATGAGTTCTAGCTCCTTTTCTTTCTTTCCCCTGAACACTTCATGGAAGAGGGGTTTATTGGCCAAGAGAAATCCAAAGACAATACATTTTCTCTTATGTATTCTTCTAGGAGTTTTATACTTTTGGATTTTACATTTAGGTCTATGATCCATTTTGTCTTAATCTTTGTATATGATATCAGATATGGATTGAGGTTCTTTTTTTTTTTTAACAATTATTCTAGCTCTGTTTGTTGAAAAGACTACCCTTTCTCCATTAAATTGCATTTACACCTTTACTGAAAATCAGTTGATCATATATGTGTGAGTTAATGTAGTCTCTAGTCTGTTCTCTTGATTTATTTGTCTATCTTAATGCCAATACCACAGTGTCTTTTTTTTTTCAATTTATTTATTTTGGGCTGCGTTGGGTCTTTGCTGCTGCGCTCGGCTTTCTATAGTTGCGGCGAGCGGGGGCTACTCTTCATTGAGGTGTGCAGGCTTCTCACTGCGGTGGCTTCTCTTGTCGCAGAACACGGGGTCTAGGCGTGCAGACTTCAGTAGTTCTGGTTCGCGGGCTCTAGAGTGCAGGCTCAGTAGTTGTGGCACATGGGCTTAGTAGCTCAGCGGCATGTGGGATCTTCCTGGACCAGGGCTCGAGCCCACGTCCCCTGCATCGGCAGACAGATTCTTAACCACTGTGCCACCAGAGAAGTCCCGCAATACCACAGTATCTTGATTACTGAGGTTTCATAATAATTCTTGAAATCATGTAGTTTTAATTCCTAAACTTTGTTCTTTTTC